TGTGTTTCGCCAAATACATCCCAAGGGTTATGCTTTTTATCATCAAATGAGGTTTTGAAGTAGCTGGCATTATTATTTGCATGAAAAGCCAAGCCACATGATAATAATGAATGATCTCTTATCGACAAATTGTTTTTGAGTGTCGCAAATTTGAAAAAAATAATACTTTATAATGTAGCACCTAGTACACGAAACAACCGGAAAGGCTAGAGTAGTTTAACATCACTGATCTCAAAAATAGTGGATAGTCGAAACCAATATCAGCCATATTAGTGTGACTACCTCGAATGTACTGTGGTGTTGCTGACATGTTACAAAAGGTTCGAATTCTAACAGTTTCTGCATGATATTGTTTGAAAATGACACGTGTTGTCTACATAAACATTGGTCAATGGTCATATCAGTGTTGAAGTGTTCTCTCTTTCGTGAATAACTGATGAGGTCACGCCATATGGCGGTATCGAGTCTCATTTAATATCTAGCGTATAAAATGTCCTTTGAAAAGGTGCGGGAAGCTGTATCTTTCAAGCTACAAAGGATAAGGCATTTGCCTGGTAGTTATATAGGTACCCTATTTAAAACACGAGCAGGAGTGCTTTATCAGATATAAAACACGAAAGCGCAGTCGAGTGTTTTATATTTGATAAAGCACTGAATGCGAGGGCTTTATTAAAAAGGCTTTAAAAACGACACATCTAATGAGTTCATTGGATAAATAATTTTTAAAATAAGCGTTGTAAGCCGAGAAAATAAAAGCTAAAGTTTCTGTAAATTAACATGATTTTTTATCACATTTAAAACCACCGACACGGCAGTGATTTATTTTGTATTTTCTTCATTAATTATTAATTAGTTTTTGAAGTACTATTTAAAGCACGCGTAGGAATGTTTTATCAGATATAAAACGCGAGGCGCAGCCGAGCGTTTTATATCTGATAAAACACTCCTATACGCGTGCTTTAAATGGCTTAAAAAACGACTCATCTTATACGAGTTCATTGGCGAAGTAATTTTTAAAATAAACTTTGTCTAAACCGAGAAAATCAAAGCTAAAGTTTATGTAAATTAACATGATTTTTTATCACATATAAAACCACGACACGCTTATGATTTTTCTTTGTGTTTTCTCCTGAATTATTAATGAGTTTTTTAAGCTGATTTGAACTCCTAACAATTTGATAGGTGAATAATTTAGCAGATTTAAAAATCTCTTCTCATAAACTGGTTTCAAAATTGGCTCATTGAGTTTCCAGACCAGATATAATGAAAATTAATAAAAGAACTAATCGATTCAAAATTTGCAGAAATATGAAGCCGTTTGTTGATATTTTGCTATTGTTAAAGAGTTACAAGTATGGCTTTCGTCGATTTTTCTTCACAAACAGGAAAGTGAGATCCATAATTGCCTGCACTTAAATTTATCAGTATTTTTGGTGTTTACACTCTCAGCCGGTCAGCGCTCCATATCTAACGAGACCCCGCGGTTTTATTTGCAAGGCAAATTGTATGTCAATTGGCAAGTAATTATATGAATATGTGGTCTCATAAATTCCGATAGTTGCTCTAAAATGGAGTTGAACGCTGTGCTATCCTGAGAATTATGCAAAAGTTATAATAAATTGCAAAAATATCCGGATTGCGCGCCTATAAACCGGAATGGACTTTTTCCTCTCTCCACTTGAGCCAATAGATTAATTGCGTTCAATACGCAGGTTCAAATCCGGCTTGAGTGATTTTTATATCGCGGTTAAAAATTATTGATAATTGAGGAAGAAAATTGAAGATAAACTATTATTTAATCCATGTCTTTTAATCGAATATAGATTTCGTCCTGATTTAGCTACATAAACCTTAGCTTCGATTTTTGCCGCTAAAATGAACCATATCGCCAAAATAGTGGGTAAACCTAGATGCATTTGTATTTTAAGTAATATAATGCATTTTTATCGGCATCTGATGAGATCGGCTGCATTTGTATCTGATTAGGCTGTTCATCTGCCTAGTAGCCAGACGTTTCCATGCAGAGAGGAAAATGCGGCGAATGCTGGCGAGCCGTCGCATTTTGCGGTCGCCGCTGCCCTTCGTCCAACCAATATACATATCACGCCTGTGGAGGAGGTAGGCTGTTCAGGGCTTCATTCTTAAAATATTACATACAGCGTCGGATGTTTTATCAACTATATAAAGTCAAATATAGAACAAATGATTACGTCCAAAACTTGCGCTCAAGTTATTAAATGTGAATTTTTGCTGGCCAGCTCTGCCTCTGATAGTTATAATGCGTCACCGATTTATAAGCCCAATGTTATTTTTGCATAGTTTTAGTTATAATTACTGTGAGAAAGCTAGTCAAAATAAATAATTAGTACTTGAACTAAATAATGAAATAGGATTGTGAAATCATGAATAATTAATCATTAAATACCACAGGCTTATAAACCTCAATAAAAGTTCTGATAAAGATCAGTAAGCGTAAGGAATATTAATCCAGTGAATCTGCAAAAAGTGATCGATCTGTATCAAACGTTAAAAATACTATTTAAAATAGGAAAATTACTACATACATGCATTCTGGAAATGGTCAGTTGTTTATCATAAACTCCAAACATATAACGAATCAATTGCGCTAACGTATAATTAGAAATGTTTTGTAGATACTCAGTATGATACACTTTCTTGTATATATTGTGCCATTTCAACTGATGTGAATTTTACTTACGCTACGCCAAAACTATACTCTGGAAAGGCAATCCACATTGGGAAACCTTTGTTTACGTTTGAATTTTTAAGTCCAGATAATTTAAAATTAACATTATTGCAAGTGCGCAAAAGATTGAAACCGGTGTGTCAAAAGTTCAAAGTTATGAACCCGTAGTATATCGATGGCAAATTCTGTTTGAGTTGATAGATATAGTGCCAAAACGTTTGTATAATTAAACGTTGTCGAACAACAAGCTATATTTGCTTCAAAATATCAACAAACAGATCTGTAGCAGATTAAATGTTCCTGGTTCAAGACAATAGGCTGTGTTTTGTCTTTTTTTGCGGATCAAAATTCGATGCCAAAACTTGATTTATGAATCTTTGTGTCAACTGATGTTTATGAAACTAAGTATGATGACATATGCTCTCGTTTTATAAAGACAAAACATTGTATCTCAAAATGTTCTCATCTTCTTACAACATTTTAGGACCAAAATAAGCTTTTGATCCTGAAAGCGCGCGAAATGTTAATTAGATGAAATTTTGCGCGCAATTCTATAACGAATTTTTCAGCGCCATGCGCAAATTATGTTCGACTCGAATAAAATGCGTTGGTTTATTTTGGGCATACTCAGGAAACATTAAATAATTATTCTTGACTTTCATACATCATTGACACCCGCGCGTACTACGCCAGATTTAAACAGGTCATGATATGAGGCCAGACATAACGTCCCTGACGACATCACACACATTTGTCTCTCCAAGCGGAAAATCCGATCTTGTTCGCACTTGAATAACACCTAATTAATTTTTGTGGATAATCCGTGCTTACATTCTATCTCATAAACGTTTGAATTACGCTATTAACTACACATAAGATTATGTATTATGTCTATTTTTCGCTGAAGGTCTATATTTGCACAAGAGTCTTGCGCGTTTGCGCGGTTTTTCCCCGCAAATGAGCGCGAATTATGTGGTGTTTATGTTATGAATAATTGAGCTGACAATTAATTGCTTCTTCTGGGAGGTGACAGTCAGAACGGCACGCGTTTCTAGACATGTTTCCTCCATGCTCGCCAGCCCACGCTGAGAACTCGTGCATAAAAACGCCGTGTACAGCTGAAAATTTACTTCAAACCAAACTGAGAAGACTATACAAGAGCTCTCAAAGATATCAATAGAAGATTTACACAAGTTTCTCACAAGAGTGTTGAGGTTTGCGTTTTTCAGAGGTTAAAGTTTATCAGCAAGTTATAGAGAAGAAAATGTCAGTTACCAAAATGTGAGTGTCTAATATTTAATTGAAACTTTTTATTATGCCTATTGACTAAATTAATGGACCACCAGACTGAGAGTGTATGATTTAGGATATAGACTAATTCCTTTCTATTTCAGCGAAAGTACAAAAGCTAAGGCTTTTACGCAACGGCCTATATTTGTTAAGCTGAAGTGGTTCTGGTGTTTTAGGTGCTTAAAATCAGGCTTGCTGGTGATTCTAAGTGTCTGGTTTTATTCTTTAAGGGTTTCTTAGTTTTTACGTTAGTTCATTTACTATGTCATGTAGGTATAAATTCTAAGGGCTGTTTACATGATCCGGTTGCCAGGTCGGGATGGAAGGCGATATGATTTTGATGCATAATTGAAGTAACTAAGCCACTAAGGCTAAGCCGCTAGGCTACTATGGCCATAAAAGAAAGTTCAAACGCAGGTTAAATAACTCAGAAGATCTCGTAGTTTAAGAAAATTATTATTGCTGCTTGAGAACAACCTTTCCTTTACAATTATACTATAGAAAAATAATGTAGTTTTTCTGAATGGTACGTCAAAATCATCCCGCCTGTCATCTCGTCCCCACAAAGCGGGATGATCTCATGATGTAAACAGCCCCTAAAATACATGAAAACAATAAAGTACATCTCAACCTAGCTTTCGAGAGAAAAGCCTCCGTGTACCTGCATGTGTCGGGAGGACAGTGAATCAGTGCATGATATTCAGTCACTTAAAATGTCGAAAAAAGTTTTAAATTTTGTTTGGTAGGTCAGAAGCAAATTAAACAACGCTGACTTAATATAGAACACTAACCGACAATTTTATAGCAAGATGTTGTGGTTAGCGTCTTTCAGTTAAGACGTCTTTTAAAATAGCTATTCTCTCTTAATAGCTAATTAGTCGTCAAGGCAAAGTTTTAATGAATAATTCTTCTCTTTTTCTAGTTTTTCTGCAGTTATTGTTTTGGTGATTCTGTTCACAATGCCATGCAGTCTGGAGGGCAAACCTAAACTCCACACGAAAGACAAGGGGGTCCCTCTCCCAATCATGCCGTCAGCTGTGAACAAGAGTTGGTGTCGAAGCGCATTCTTCAAAGAGCGCATCACGGAGCCTGGCTGCGAATCCAAACTGGTTTATAACCGATTTTGCTACGGACAGTGCACGTCATTTTACGTCCCGCGATTCCCACTGGCCAGCTTCCGCACGTGTAACGCATGCGTACCGATCCTGACGGAGAAACGATTCATCCAATTAAAATGTCCCGGAAGAAAAAATCAAGTCCACCTCAAAGAAATACTCGTGGTGAAATCCTGTCGCTGTCGAGCTGATATTTGGGCCAAAACCAAGTCCAAAGGGAAGAAATCAACATAAACCGCTGACGAACTACGGGCTCGTGTAACCTGACCGCTGGTCGTTTCTGTGTGCAGGCTCAGTTCCATTGGCACGTACCGCTGGTCAAAAATTTCTAGTACTGCGGATTGGAATTCCAACTGTTTCCAAATCTACGAATTGCTTCAAAAGCGATTTTTCCAGTGATTTTTTTATCGCTGATTTCTGGTTTAGGTGAATGTTATTTTATGTTTTCTATTACCAGTTGAGAGCAAATCCTAAATTTTCAGCGGCTTGAACCGTTGACCGTTTCTATAATTATTGACATAACCTAAATCAGAAACCAGCGAAATAATCGCAGTTAAAAACTGCAGAGACAGAAATACAAATATATATCGAATATTATAATTATGATGAACACAATGCAATGACTATTTTTGCTATCCTAATCAAATATCCATATTTTTATCAAGAGAAACAAATATAGATCTAAAATAATTTAATGTATATCGTAATAGTAAATAGTAGAGAATAATATAATGCATGTCTTCTATGTAAATTTGTTTATAATAGACTGTTTTTGTTATTAAAAACTTTAAGCATTAGTCACATTGTGTACTGTGATTTAGAGTTACATCTTGGAGTCTTCTTGTCGACAAAATAAAAGGCTACCCCATTCACATTTTTTCGATGTGATTACTCTTTCAAAAACTGACCAGTTTTAGTTCAAAAAGTTTGGGGTTTGATGTTTACAGAAACTCCAAACGTCCCAATAAACTAGCAAATACCCTTTATTCTTTCCATCTTTCCATTCTTTCCACTTTAATTTTGAATTTTTCAAAAAGTGGTCAAAAATGGAAAGAATAAAGGGTATTTTGAAAAATTCAAAAAGTGGTCAAAATTGGACGGTGGTCAATATTTTCTTGCCAATTTTGATCACTTTTTCAAAAATCAAAAAAGTGGCTAAAAACGGAAGGCTGACAGGTAGGCTTTACATTTTTCCAATTTGGTCACTTTTTCAACAATCAGGAAACTCTGGTCAACCTTTACTTTTAGGCCCTTTTTAGGGAGTTTGTAAATGAAGCTTGATTGGCTACTAGTACAAAACAAGCCAATCATATGCTTGGTCTCTGACATTTACCGTATTATCGGTATTAAATGATGAAACCCTTCAAATGCTTACTATTCAGACTAGTAAAATGTCATTGTTTTGACTGGTTTTCACTTGTTTCCATCTACCAAACTGACATTACGTCATTTGATCAATTTGTGAAGTTGTTTCTTTTTGGATTTTTTTGTTAATTTGGTTAGGGTTAGGGTTAGGGCAGAGTTAGGGTTGCGGTAAGGGTTAGAGTAGGGATAGGGTTAATTACATGTCAATTTAACACCTCTTCCATCATCCAAAAATGAAGTCACGTAAGTTTGGCAGATGGAAACAAGTACTGACCGTTTTGACTGCGTTTGATTCTTAATTTTAATTTTAATTGTAAATTCACAAATTTCCCTTTGTTTCACCCTTCAGTAAACCGCCATCTTGAAATTTTTATAATTACGTCATTTTCATCTATACGCTGTCCCTGACCGGCTAGAAGCACGCTTACAAACTTCCGGTACGCGCACGATGGCAATATATCTGCACAGATATCTGCATTCGCAAATACAATCAAAGGTAGTTGATGGCGACTCACGGATAAGATCAAATGAAAGTGACAGAAAGAATTAGCAGTTTGAAGTTGTTTTTGCAAAGCGAGCACCGTTCTGAAAGGCCCGATTCGCGGGCAAACAGTGCGCGAAAAGCAGGCTGGTTATTTCCCATTGTTTAACTGCCTCACACTCACCCCACACTCAAGTAACCACAAAGACTCACAGGCAACATCCGTGAGTCAAAAACTGCCAAGGCCATGGGGGTTATCCTTTACTTTTTAGCCATGTTTGGTCACTTTTTCAAAAACCTAAAAAGTGGTCAAAAATGGGCGAGACTTAAATGCTGTACGATTTCATATTTAGTCTTTAGTCTAAGCGTCTTTTTTATTAGTCTAGTTTTAGGATTTCAAAATTAATTGTATCATTTGTACAATGTGCATGTCGTCATACATTCTGCATTTATTTATCAAACAAACTGAAATATTTTGAAAACGAAGACATGCAGATGTTGAAAAAGTGTAAAATAACTTAGATTATACAAATTTATGAACTTTTCTAACCAGATCGACCAAAATTTGATTGCCGATGTCCTTAAAGCCGCCAAGTCTTACTGAAGTAAAGGATCTTACACGGTTCGAGAAGTATCAATGAAAAATCGCGCACGAAATATTTATAATACAAACTGTGGTATTATAAATATTTCGCCTTTAACACAAGTGTGATTTTTCATTAATACTTCGAGAACAAGTGTAATTTCCTATTAAATAATATCATTTTAGTCAATTTCATGAGCAATCAATGACAAATAATTTTTCTGACATTAATTTTTAATCCATACCTGTAAAAACTGTGAATTCTTATTGAATGTAAATGAGAGCTCAGTACACAATAAGCGTTCAGAAAATATAAATTTTCACGTTGTTTATTTAAATGTTGTGTTTACATTTGTGCACTCACACATCGGCGTGCATAATGCTCGTGGGCTCGGAAATCTGCACAGTTTTTAACCAAGAAAATTGACTAAAATGATATTATGTACTGAACTGTTGAACAGTTATTGATTTAAAGCTATTAAGAATTAGAAAACTCGTTCAATTTTCGAGGTTTTTTTTTGCTAGAATATATACTGTGCATGTCAATTGAAATCGATTGGTAGATTGAAACATATAGGACAAATATAATGTCAAAATACAATAGCTGTTAGAAATAATTCGAATCTTTTGTTAAAATTGTTTCAAAATGCCCACTGCGAGATATATATTTGGCCATTTCTGAATTACGATCAAATGCCTACAAGCTATAGCCTGGGAACGAGGCTTCGTGCGAAGTTGTAATGTTTCTAAAGGTTGGGGACGAAAACAATGGACAATCTAAAACCAACAGTGAAATGAGTTTGACACATCTATTCGGAGACCACAACAACGAATACAAAATGGCATTACCTCACACTTACGGAATGTCAAAATTGGTTTAGGAAGCTTATTTATAGAGAAAATAAAGATAGAAATGTCAAAAGGAGTACAAGTTGCTTAACAAACAAGCCTAAAAAAACAAGATCTTGCATGTAGAAATCACTGTGGCGATACACAAGATATTATAGTGTGCTCACAGTGTTCACATACCGATGTCATAAGTCATAATTTGGAGACGAGACGTCAAAGAAAATTCTCACATGATGCTACTAACACCTTATAGCTATCTTTGAAAAGAATTCCTTAATTAATTCATTGTAAGTAACAATTTCAAGGACAGCTCCTGTCAATGACAGTCACACAAATATATCAAATTCCATTGCAGCAGGTCCATTGAACTTCTCTAGGCCATTGATAATAATCTTAATCTTCCAAAAATGCATTTTCTTTATGCGAGAGAGTGCACAAATCACGTTGTTTTGTTTATTTTGCACATTTTGGCCGTTATTCCAAAGATTATTTGGGTTACTTCATAACAACAAATGTGTCGTATGATAGTCGAGTGAACAAGCTTTCATTTAACATTCACAGGCAACGTTTGCCTAGTGCTAAGGTCCCTTGCTTAGTCTCCACCCGTTATGGCAAATTTAGCACGAAGCCTGTACTTGACGTTATTGCTTTTCACAATTATAGAGCGCAATTCAGAAATGACCCAATGTAACAATGTGTTATAATGTATATATACATGTTCACGATATTTTTGGAAACCAGTGCACGGTTTTTACAGTCCAACTTTTGACCTTTCATTAATATTGGTTTGTGCAAGATCGAGCTTACTGGTCATTTTGCATTTCATTGTTCTTCTTATTCAAGCCCTCGATAAGCTCTTCCACAAACCTAAAAACACATAAGAAAAAAGGCACGTTAAATCTTGCATCATAGTCTCTAGAATTTCGATCATTCCGAATATTAGCCCACCCGTATACTGGTATCACCCTATACAAGAACTTGTGGTTAACACTCGAGAACTGGATTCTGTAGCTCAGTTGGTTAGAGCGCTGCACCGGAATCGTAGGGCCGCAGGTTCCAATCCTGCCAGAGGGCCTGTAGTTCCCTTTTTCGCAAGTGCTTGTTGATTTCACACCTATAGATTGACCTTGTTTTTACTTCACTTTAATTTCTTCCTTTAAGTTATACTCTGTTCATGTTTTTAAGAGAGTGAAGAATCTTCACTCTTTCGGCATTCTTCGCTCCTGCTGCATGGGAGTAGAGTTTCATTGTCTTTTTATTCCTCTTAATTGAAAGTGAATAACGTGCTGTTTTCTCGTTCAAAAACTTCGGTAATTTTTGAGCCGCCATTTTGGTTTTTCTACTGGCATGTATTGTAGGATGAGTTAATAACCTGATGACATTGCCGAATAGCTTATATACTCAGTAGTTGTGTATATAATAAATACAGATAGTCAATCCAGTGTTAAGCCCAGGTCACACTACACAACGATAACGATACGATAACTTGAAAACGTGCGCTGATTGGTCAAAAATTTATCGTTATCGTCCGACTGAAAAAAAAAATCGCTCAGGTGAGCGATTTTAAAATCGTTATTGTTACCGTCTAACGATAATTTTACCATTTTCGTTGTTGTGTGGACACTAACACAATTTTTTTGACAATTATCGCGTGTTTACAATTTATCGTATCGTTATCGTTGTGTAGTGTGACCGGGCCTTTATTGTTTCCCAATTCTTTTCCAGTTTTAAGCATGTTATTTCTACCTTTGAAACGTTTCAGTGCCTTTTTCTAACTGTACTTTTGCTTCTTTCGTATCAGAAGAAAGTTGATACAGCCTAAAAATATAAATTTAGTTTAATAAAGGGTAGTGAATGTAGTATAGGATCATATAGTAAGCGCGTAAGGTCTACAGTTAACCATAAATTACAGTTGATATATTGATATGAAAAGAAAGTTATTAAAATATGTTTACTCTAGATATCTCATAACAAAAAGAAATAATATTCTTAATGAATCACAAATATTTTCCGTGTTTGCTAATTGTCTTACGTGATATATACAAGCGACTTGTATTTACATTGCCTTCACCATTTTTATATACATACGTAAAAATACAACAGTTAATTGTTACCGATCTGCAAACAAGTTGCAAGTTGCAACAAGGTTGTTGTAAAGCCAATATCAGAATGTGCTCGCACTGCTTG